TGATCCACAACCACATGAAGAAGCCTGTAGTTTAACCACAGACATGAGGTGGGAAACCACCAGAGGATTTCAAAAGGAGAATGACTTGTCTGTTATGAACTTTTTTTTTCTTCTTATTTATTTATTTATTTATTTATTTATTTATTTATTTATTTATTTATTTATTATTCTTATGTTAATCCCCATACATTACATCATTAGTTTTAGATGAAGTGTTCCATGATTCATTGTTTGTGCATAACACCCAGTGCTCCATGCAGAATGTGCCCTCCTCAATACCCACCACCAGGCTAACCCATCCTCCCACCCCCCTCCCCTCTAGAACCCTCAGTTTGTTTTTCAGAGTCCATCGTCTCTCATGGTTCATCTACCCCTCCGATTTTCCCTGCTTCGTTCTTCCCCTCCTGCTACCTTCTTCTTCTTCTTTTTTTTTTTTCTTAACATATATTGCATTATTTGTTTCAGAGGTACAGATCTGAGATTCAACAGTCTTGCACAATTCACAGCGCTTACCAGAGCACATACCCTCCCCAGTGTCTATCACCCAGTCACCCCATCCCTCCCATCCCACCCCCCACTCCAGCAACCCTCAGTTTGTTTCCTACAATTAAGAATTCCTCATATCAGTGAGATCATATGATACATGTCTTTCTCTGTTTGACTTATTTCACTCAACATAATACCCTCCAGTTCCATCCACATCGTTGCAAATGGCAAGATCTCATTCCTTTTGATGGCTGCATAATATTCCATTGTATATATATACCACATCTTCTTTATCCATTCATCTGTCGATGGACATCTTGGCTCTTTCCACAGTTTGGCTATTGTGGACATTGCTGCTATAAACATTGGGGTGCACGTACCCCTTCGGGTCCCTACTTTTGTATCTTTGGGGTAAATACCCAGTAGTGCAATTGCTGGATCATAGGGTAGCTCTATTTTCAACTTTTTGAGGAACCTCCATACTGTTTTCCAGAGTGGCTGCACCAGCCTGCATTCCCACCAACAGTGTAGGAGGGTTCCCCATTCTCCACATCCCCACCCACATCTGTCGTTTCCTGACTTGTTAATTTTAGCCATTCTCACTGGTGTGAGGTGGTATCTCATTGAAGTTTTGATTTGGATTTCCCTGATGCCGAGCGATATTGAGCACTTTTTCATGTGTCTGTTGGCCATTTGGATGTCTTCTTTGGAAAAATGTCTGTTCATGTCTTCTGCCCATTTCTTGATTGGATTCTTTGTTCTTTGGGTGTTGAGTTTGATGAGTTCTTTATAGATTTTGGATACTAGCCCTTTATCTGATATGTCATTTGCAAATATCTTCTGTAATGAACTTTTTTCTTTTAAGATTTCATTTCCAAGTAATCTCTACATCCAACGTGGGGCTCAAACTCAACCCTAAGATCAAGAGTCTCATGCTCTACCGACTGAGCCAGCCAGGTGCCCCCTGATGTACTTTTTCTGATCTAGAACTAATTTAAATCTTTCCCTAACCCTTTCAAAGTTGGCTTTTAATTTATAGAACCAAAATATTGATGAGAATGTGACTTAAGGTCTAAATAATTTTTAACTAGTAAGACTCCGTTGTGTGTAAATTAGACATTAGCAAAATTAAAAACTTTTGTGATTCAAAGGACATGATTTAAAAAGTGAAAAAGAGGGGCGCCTGGGTGGCTCAGTTGTTAATCTTCTGCTTTCCCCTCAGGTCATGATCCCAGGGTCCTGGGATCAAGCCCCGCATCGGGCTCCTTGCTCTGCGGGAAGCCTGCTTCTCCTTCTCCCACTCCCCCTGCTTGTGTTCCCTCTTTCACTGTCTCTCTCTGTCAAATAAAATCTTTTAAAAAAATGAAAAGTGAAAAAGACAACCTACAATATAGAGAAAAAATTGAAAATCATGTATCTGATAAGAAACCTGTACCTAGAATATATAAAGAACTACTACCACTCAATTATAAAAAGACTTCAATTAAAAAAAAATCACAATCCAAGCTTGTAAAGGATTATGATAAAAAAGTGACCTATAAATAAAGTCGTTTCAAATTCAGACCCAGAATGAAAAAACATGCAATGTACAAGAATGGGTAAGAGGATTGAAGAAGAGAAAGGAAGTGGGAGGAGCTCCGTATAAAAAGCATCGTTGTAAAATAAACAAAACCCGATTGTTTTAAATTTTATTTTATTATGTTAGTCACCATACAGTACATCATTAGTTTTTGATGTAGTGTTCCATGATTCATTGTTTGCGTATAACACCCAGTGCTCCATGCAATACGTGCCCTCCTTAATACCCATCACTGGGCTAGCCCATCCCCCCACCCCCTCCCCTCTAAAACCCTGTTTGTTTCTCAGAGTCCATAGTCTCTCATGGTTCGTCTCCCCCTCCGATTTCCCCCCCCCTTCATTTTTCCCTTCCTACTATCTTCTTCTTCTTCTTCTTTTTTTTTTTTTAACATATACTGTATTATTTGTTCCAGAGGTACAGGTCTGTGATTCATCAGTCTTACATAATTCACAGCACTCACCATAGCACATACCCTCCCCAATGTCCATCACCCAGCCACCCCATTCCTCCCACCCCCCTCCCCTCCAGCAACCCTCAGTTTGCAAAACCCGATTTTTCTAAATGGGCAAATGAACTGAACAGTTTCCTCAAAGAAGATACAGAAATAGACATCAAGCTCATGAAAAGATGTTCAAGGCGGTTAGCCCTAAGGAAAAGACAAATGAGAACCACAAGGAGATATCACTTCACAACCACTAGGGGGTGACTTATAATCGAAAAGACCGATGATGACGACAAGCTTTGGCGATGACTGGGAGCCATCGGAGCCCTCATCCACTGCAGCGCGATCCTCAAGTAAATGGTCCGGCCGGGAGGTGGTCAAATAGTGAAACAGTGTTACCGTGTGACCCAGCAATCCCACTCCCAACAGACGCTCAAGAGAAATGAAAACGGAAGAAAAAAAGAGAGAGAGAGAAATGAAAACCTGTATCCAAACGTGCGCACCCTCCGCAAGGCGTCCAACCAGCGCCCGCCAGCCTCCAGGAGGGATGCTGACCCGCTCCTCTAGCGCCCCCTCTGGTCTTCCGGAGGGGAGGCCGATGTTGCAGAAGGTACGCTGTGCTCCAGCGGGAACCCTGCACCCTTTTCTGCAGAGACTGTCACTAGCTTTATTTAAAAGTATTAAAGAAGCTGAAGCGCCTAGCGCAGTACCAGGCATCGGGGGATGCGCTAACACTGTTCGCTGTTGTTATGTTTCTTATCTCTAATTAATTAAACATGGGCATTGGTAGCAGTGGGTTCTAAGTGGTTTGGGGGAAAAGTAGGGTAAATAAAAGTGCTTTGAGACTGAACTGGGTGCCAAGTTGGCTTACTCTTCTGAATCAGATGATTACTAACATTAATGTATTGCTTATATATGCCAGGGACTATGCTGAGTGCTTTAGATATGCATCATCACCTGAAATTCTCTCAACCACCCTGGAACCTGGAAACTCAGTGAATTAGTCCTTTGGAAGTATTAAATAATAAAACCAGTAGTAATATAAAGACTGGACTGGAAGCCCTTACAATAATCTGAGTAGGCAGAGTGAGTAATAGAAGAGGACAAAATTCGGAGAATAGTAAAATCAATCCCACGTTTATAAATCTTGATTTTCACTGCATTACATTGCTTCTTTCTGGAAAATAGGAGGCTGGAAAGGCAGTAAATGATTGATCCTGATACAGATGAGATGACTTTTTTTTTAATTAAACAAATTTGTACGAATGAAAAAATACTTGCCTTGAACAAGATGGAATAAAAATGGCAAAGCAAACAAACAAACAAAACCATAAAGAAACCCACAGTATCCTTGACACATCAGACCCTATGTTTTGTTTTTGTTTCTGTTTTAAAGATTTTATTAATTTGAGAGAGAGAGCACAAAAGAGAGCACAAGCAGGGGGGTAGGGGTAGAGGGATCAGGAGAAGCACACTTCCCGCCGAGCAGGGAGCCTGACCTGGGACTCAATCCCAGGACTCGGGATCATGACCTGAGCCGAAGGCAGGCACTTAACCGACTGAGCCACCCAGGCGCCCCACATCAGCCCCTACGTTGCGGACTCTGGACTTGGCACTTTATGTGCATCTTCTGATTTTATCCCTCCCACAAAACCTGGATTGGCCTGTGCAGCCATCCATCCACTGCTCCTGCCCCCTCCGCACACCTTATATGTCCGTGTTTCCAAAACCCAATCTCCTCCCCATAGTCATGGGTTCCCCAAACGTGCTCCATACCTATGATTTCAATGAGTGGCAAAATCTTATTTTTGCCATTAACAAAAAAAGAGAAGAAAAATCTTTCTGGCATTTTGTTGAGGGAGTTGGGATGAGGGCAGCTTTGAATTCCTAACACCGATCTCTGCTATTTTTTGCACATCCTGGGGATAAGGGGAACTTCACCTGGATCTAAGGAACAAAGCAGTAAATCAAGGGTGTGTTTCCCCTTGCTCTTAGAAAAGAAAGAGCTCGGGCGCCTGGGTGGCTCAGTCGTTAAGCGTCTGCCTTCGGCTCAGGTCATGATCCCAGAGTCCTGGGATCGAGCCCCACATCGGGCTCCCTGCTCCGCAGGAAGCCTGCTTCTCCCTCTCCCACTCTCCCTGCTTGTGTTCCCTCTCTGGCTGTCTTTCTCTCTGTCAAATAAATAAAACCTTTAAAAAAAAAAAAAAAGAAGAAAAGAAAGAGCTCAATTCATTCTGGGCCTGGCTCGGGGACTTCTCCGGCTCAGCCCAAGCCCCCCACCTTCTCGCCCAGGCATCAGCACCTCCTTACCCCCAGAGGTGGACACAATCCAGCTCCTGTAGGGGTTGGGGGGTCTCCCCTCCAAGCAGCAGGAAATGGGGCATGGGGGTAGGGAGGCCGGCTCCAGGCCCCGGGAGGAAATGCTCACACTGAGAGTCTGTGAGTGATCTGCAGAGGGCGCTTGGCTCCACACTCAGCCCTTTTCCCCTGACAGCCTTAAAGGGAAAGAAAACTACAGTTCAACAAATTCACTTTTGGTTTCCAAAAGACGTGAGCAGGAAGGAATCGGAAGGAACAGGCTTGTGGGCCTGAGGAGGGATAGAAGGTGCTCCCCAGCCCTTCAGCCTCTGGAGAAAGGCTAGCCCTCCTTACAGGGCAAGGCGGAAGCCGGGAGAATTTATCCCGAGGGGCCGCCTGGGCTGATAGAGATGGCACTCTTTCAGACCCTGTATGACACCCCGGCAGACATGTTGTCTGCCTTCGTGGAGCAGAACCTTAAGCCCGAGGGGAACTGGAAGGAGGAAGTGAAGGATGCCTGGCAGAGAATTGAGCGTTTCTTCCGGGAACAGTGCTTCCGAGATGAGCTGGTTCTAGACCAGGAAGTCAGGGTGCTGAAGGTGGTGAAGGTGAGCACCTGGGGACTTAAGATTGAGTTTGAACCCCAGCCCTGTTGCTTGGGGACCATGTAACCTTGGGGAGGTTCATTTCATCTCTGGACTCCCCCTCTTTAATCCAGATCTATTGTAAGGAATAGATGAGATAAACTGGGGGAAAGTGCTTTTAAACTGTAAATTATCCTACAAATCTGAAGGATGATGCTGATCAGGATGATGATGATTATTGGGGATCCAGCTGATTGCCAGGGTGACAGGTGGAATATGAATAACAGGTCTCTTATAAAATTTATGTGTTTGTTTCTTGTTTAAGAAAACCTGTAGGGGCGCCTGGGTGGCTCAGTTGGTTAAGTATGGGACTCTTGGTTTCTGCTCGGGTCATGATCTCAGGGTCAGGAGATGGGGAGATAGAGCCCCACTGGGGCTCTACTCTCAGCATGGAGTCCTCCCTCTCCCTACCTCTCTGCCCCTCCCTCTGATCGTGCTCTCTCTCGTACTCTCTAGCTCTTGCTCTAAAGGCTCTTGTTGGGGCCTGTAATTGATGTTTCTTTCCTGTTTACAATTCTGTTGGGGTCTGGTCTGTAATTGACAATTCCTATAATTGGTGTTGGTACCACTCCCCCTATGGCCTCCCCCTCTGGCCTCAGACTCCTTTTTGTGAGGCTTCCCTTAATTTTCATATATCTAATTTCTTAAGTAAATCAAGCCTTACCTGGGGGTGGTATTGTTAGGAGCTAATTGGACACTTAGGTAGTCAGGGCCAGGGTCCCCAACAAGAAAACAGGGAGCCAGGACAACTAAGACAAAACCGTGCTAGCATCCTGTTTTACAGCTTAGACAAGACCACAGTAGCATCCTGTCTAACAGCCTCTGTAGGAGTGACTCTTACAAAATATCCTGAAACAAAACCATTAACCACAAAACATTGGTCACTATCACAAGTTGGTCTCCAACATGGTAACAATAACCTGATAGGTAGACAGGTGCATGATCAAAGCCCTGATTGGCACAGCTTAGTAGCCAATCCACAGGGGGCCCACACTCAGGATGCTCAAGATAGTTCTGCAAAAGAGTTTATAAAAAAACCCTGGATTGGAACAACAAAACAGCAAACCTCTAGGGGACACTCCCTCTCCAGGAGCTTTATTCTCCCCCAGAAGATCAGCAAGAACATCTGGCCAAGACCAAGTTTACCAAGTTTACCGTTCAAAGAGAACTGCAAAACTCCAGCACTAGGGGAATACAGCCATAGAATTCACGGCTTTTCCCCAGTGATTCTTTAGTCTTTTGACTTTAATTTTTTTTCTCTTTCCTTTTTCAACCAATTTCTTATTTTACCAACTCTTTTTAAAATCTTTTTTAATTTTCGTTTTTATAGTTACATTCTATCTTTTCATTGTTTTTAATTTTATTTTTATATATATACATACAAGTTTTTCTTTCTTTACAATTTAGGGATGCAGTTTCTTCTAACAGACCAAAATACACCCAGAATCTAGGGTAGGGTTCTGTTCTCTTCACCTGTCTGATCATATTCTCTCTCTCTCTTTTTTTTTTTTTTTTTTTTTTGCTTCTTTTTTGTTTTTGTTTTCTTTTGTTAAAAGTCTTTTTTAATTTTAATCTTTACAGTTACATTCTATCCTTTCAATGTATTTAACTATATATATATACATATACACACACACACACACACGTTTTTATTTCTTTACAATTTTGAGATGTAGTTTCTTCTAACAAACTGAACAAAATACACTCAGGATAGGGTGCCTGGGTGGCTCAGTCGTTAAGCGTCTGCCTTCGGCTCAGGTCATGATCCCAGGGTCCTGGGATCGAGCCCCACATCGGGCTTCCTGCTCGGCGGGAAGCCTGCTTCTCCCTCTCCCACTCCCCGTGCTTGTGTTCCTTCTCTCGCTGTGTCTCTCTCTGTCAAATAAATAAATAAAATCTTTAAAAAAAAAAAAAAATACACTCAGGATACAGTGTATTGTTCTGTTCTGTCCACCTATCTGTTTATATTCCTTCTTTTTTTGTTTGTTTTCTTTTTTCTCTGTGTCTTTTTATTTTCATTTTTACAGTTACATTCTGTTCTTTCATTGTATTTAATTTTATTTTTGTACATATATATTTTTCTTTCTTTACAATTTTGGGATCTAGTTTTTTAACAAACAAACCAAAATACACACATTATCCAGTGTATTGCTCTATTCCATTCACCTGTCTAATAATATTTTCTCTCTCTCTCTCTCTCTCTCTCTCTCTCTTTTTTTTTCCAGTTTCGGGACTCTTCTAATTTGTTTAGTGTATATTTCTCTGGGGTTGTTGTTGCCATTTTAGTATTTGGTTCTCTTGTTCATCTCTTCTTCTCTGGTCAGAATGACAAGATGGAAAAACTCATCTCAAAAAAGAGAACCAGAGGCAGTACTGACTGCCAGGGACGGAATCAGTATGGACAAAAGATGTTGGGACTAGAATTCAGAATAATGATTATAAAGATACTAGTTGGGCTTGGAAAAAGCATAGAAGACATTACAGAATACCTTTCTGGAGAAATAAGAGAACTAAAATTTAATCAAGTCAATATAAAAAAGGCTATTAATGAGGTGCAATCAAAAGTGGAGGCCCTGGGTGGCTCAGTCGGTTAAGCATCTGCCTTCGGCTCAGGTCATGATCCCAGGGTCCTGGGATCGAGTCCCACATCGGGGAGCCTGCTTCTCTCTCTCCTCCCTGCTCATGCTCTCTTCTCACTATCTCTGTCTGTCTCTCTCTCAAATAAATAAATAAAAATCTTAAAAAAAAAAAAAGTGGAGGCCCTAACTGCTAGAATAAATGAGGCAGAAGAGAGAATTAGTGATACAGAAGACCAAATAATGGAGAATAAAGAAGCTGAAAAAAAGAGACAACTACTGCATCATGAGGGGAGAATTCAAGAGATAAGAGACACCATAAAGCAAAACAATACTAGAATAATTGGGATCCCAGAAGAAGAATAAAGAGAGAGAGGGGCAGAAGGTGTATTGGAGCAAATTATATCAGAGAACTTCCCTAATCTGGGGAAGGAAATAGGCATCCATGTCCAGGAGGCACAGAGAACCCCCCCTTAAAATCAATAAAAATATGTCAACACCCTAACATATAATAGTGAAACTTGCAAATCTCAGAGACAAAGAGAAAATCCTGAAAGCATCTCAGGACAAGAGGTCTGTAACCTACAGGGGTAAAAACATTAGACTGGCAGCAGACCTATCCATAGAGACCTGGCAGGCCAGAAAGGACTGGCATGATATATTCAGGGTGCTAAATGAGAAAAATATGCAGCCAAGAATACTTTTTCCAGCTAGGATGTCATTCAGAATGGAAGGAGAAATAAAAAGCTTCCCGGACAAACAGAAACTAAAAGAATTTGTGATCACCAAACCAGCCTTCCAAGAAATCTTAAAAGGGATTCTTTAAGTGAAGAGAGAGACCAAAAGTAGCAGAGACCAGAAAGGAACAGACAATATACAGAAACAGTGACTTTACAGGTAATACAATGGCACTAAATTCATATCTTTCAGTAGTTACCCTGAATGTAAATGAGCTAAATGTCCCAATCAAAACACAGGGTATCAGATTGGATAAAAAAGTAAGACCCATCGATATGCTGTCTGCAAGAGATTCATTTTGGGTTTTTTTAAGGTTTTATTTATTTATTTGACAGAGAGAGAGAGAGCACAAGCAGGGGGAGTGGCAGGGAGAGGGAGAAGCAGGCTCCACAGAGCAGAGAGCCCAACATAGGGCTTGATCCCAGGACCCTAGGATCAAGACCTGAGCCGAAGGCAGACGCTTAACCAACTGAGCCACCCAGGTGCCCCAAGAGACTCGTTTTAGACCCAAAGACACCTCCAGATCTAAAGTGAGGAGGTGGAAAACAATTTTTTTTAATTTATTTATTAGAGAGAGAGTGAGAGAGAGAGCGCAAGAGGGGGAAGGGTTAGAGGGAGAAGCAGACTCCCCACCGAGCAGGGAGCCCGATGTGGGACTCGATCCTGGGACTCCGGGATCATGACCTGAGCCGAAGGCAGTCGCTTAACCAACTGAGCCACCCAGGCGCCCGAAAACAATTTATCATACTAATGGACATCAAAAGAAAGCTGGGGTGGCAATCCTTATATCAGACAAGTTAGATTTTAAACCAAAGACTGTAATAAGAGATGAGGAAGGACTCTATAACATAATTAAAGGATCTATCCAACAAGAAGATGTAACAATTGTAAATATTTCTGCCCTTAACCTGGGAAAAGCCAAGTGTGTAAACCAATTAACAAAATTAAAGAAATGCATTGATAATACAATAATAGTAGGGGACTTTAACACCCCACTCACTGCAATGGACAGATCATCTAAGCAGAAGATCAACAAGGAAACAAGGGCTTTGAATGACACACTGGACCAGATGAACTTCACACATATATTCAGAACATTCTATCCTAAAGCAACAGAATACACACTCTTCTCAAGTGCACATGGAACATTCTCCAAAATAGATCACATACTGGGTCACAAATCAGGTCTCAACTGGTACCAAACGATTGGGATCATTCCCTGCATATTTTTGACCACAATGCTTTGAAACTGGAACTCAATCACAAGAAGAAATTTGGAAAGAACTCAAATACATGGAGGCTAAGGAGCATCCTACTAAAGAATGAATGGGTCAACCAGGAAATTAAATAATTTAAAAAATTCATGGAAACAAATGAAAATGAAAACACAACTGTTCAAAACCTTTGGGATGCAGCAAAGGTGGTCCTAAGGAAAGTATATAGCAATACAAGCCTTTCTCAAGAAACAAGAAAGTTCCCAAATACACAACCTAACCTTACACCTAAAGGAGCTGGAGAAAGAACAGCAAATAAAGCCTAAACCTAGCAGGAGAAGAGAAATAATAAAGACCAGAGCAGAAATCAATGAAATAGGAACCAAAAGAACAGTAGAACAGATCAATGAAACTAGGAGCTGATTCTTTGAAAGGATTAATAAGATTGATAAACCCCTGGCCAGACTTATCAAAAAGAAAAGAGAAAGGACCCAAATAAATAAAATCATGAACAAAAGAGATCACAACCAACACTGAAGAAATACAAACAATTATAAGAACATACTATGAGTAACTATATGCCAACACATTAGGAAATCTGGAAGAAATGGATGCATTCCTAGAGACGTATAAACTACCAAAACTGAAACAGGAAGAAATAGAAAACCTGAACAGATAAAGGGCTAGTATCCAAGATCTATAAAGAACCTATCAAACTCAACACCCAAAGAACAATAATCCAATCAAGAAATGGCCAGAAGTCATGAATAGACATTTCTCCAAAGAAGACATACAAATGGCCAACAGCACATGAAAAAAATGCTCACCATCACTCAGCATCAGGGAGATACAAGGCTAGATACCACCTCACACCAGTCAGAATGGCTAAAATTAACCACTCAGGAAATGACAGATGTTGGCAAGGATTCAGAGAAAGGGGAACCCTCCTACACTGTTGGTGGGAATGCAAGCTGGTGCATCCACTCTGGAAAACAATATGGAGGTTCCTCAAAAGGTTGAAAATAGAGCTACCCTACGACCCAGCAATTGCACTACTGGGTATTTACCCCAAAGATACAAATGTAGTGATCCGAAGGGGCACCTGCACCCCAATGGTTATAGCAGCAATGTCCACAATAGCCAAACTATAGAAAGAGCCTAGATGTCCATCAACAGATGAAAGGATAAAGAAGTTGTGGTGTATATATATACAATGGCATACTACTCAGCCAGCAAAAAAAAGAAAGAAAGAAATCTTGCCATTTGCAACAACGTGGATGGAACTAGAGGGTGTTATGCTAAGCAAAATAAGTCAATCAGAGAAAGATAATTATCATGTGATCTCGCTGATATGTGAAATTTAAGAAACAAAACAGGATCATAGGGGAAGAGAGGAAAAAATGAAACAAGATGAAATCAGAAAGGGAGACAATCCATAAGAGACCCTTAATCTCAGGAAACAAACTGAGGGTTGCTGGAGGGGAGGGGGAGGGGGATAGGGTAACTGGGTGATGGACATTAAGGAGGGCACATGATGTAATGAGCACTGGGTATTATATAAGACTGATAAATCACTAACCTCTACCTCTGAAACCAATAATACATTATATGTTAATTGAATTTAAATAAAAATAAATAAAAATTATAAGTCACATACAGTATGATTGCATTTGTTTCAATCTCGAAATGACAGGATTATGGAAATGGAAAACAGATTAGTGGTTTCTAGGGTTTGGGGATGGTCTGGGGAGGGAGGTGGGTGCGACTCTAAAGGAGTTGAAGGAGAAAATAGAATGGAATAGTTCTATATCTTGATTTCAGTGGTGACTATAGGAATCTACACATATGATAAAATGTCTTAGAACTCCATACATTGTATCAGTGTTGATTTCCTGGCTATATTTGCATAAGATGTGACCCCTGGGAGGAAACTGGATGAAGAGCCCAGCAGACCTCTCTAAACTATCTTCCTGTAAATCTATAATTATTTCAAAATAAAAAACAACTTATTGTATATGGGAGAGGGGAGAAGGGCCAGCCCCCTTCCCTGCCTACTAAAGGAGACCCCCAGGTATCCTTCCTCAGAGGACATGTTCATTTCAGTGTTACTTATCCAGACAAGGAGCAGAGACAGCCCCTCAGAACTGCGGGGATTTAGAGGTTGAAGGTGCTTTGCAGGCATCAGCAACAACCACTGAAATGTGGGAGTCTTTAAAACTAGCATTCCCCAGGACAGTGTCTGCCTTTCTACACTTTGGATAAAGAGGGAATAATTTCTGCTGTTCTTGTTGAGATTTCTTTTGACCAAATATTAGGAACATGTAGTTTTCTAGTTGATTCTCTGCAAGGGCATCAGCACTAAGTGGGGGAAAGGACCAGGCAAAAGGAAGATCATTTGCAAATGAACTAAGGGCAGGCAGGACTTTCGATCATCCTCAGTCCCCCTCTAATGGGGGAAACTCCATCATCACCTTGTCCATGAATTTGGATGCTTATCCATGACATCTAAATTCCTTTTCCTGCTTGTTTCTTATCCAGGAGGAAAGATTTATGATGCACCTTTCAAGGCTACGGCTGGGCCTCATTCTATGAACACGCATGGTACTGATGCACTGTTTCCAGCATCCTTGCATATACACACATGAACACACACGCAATGTCCAAAAAATATACTTGTGCATACACACACAAGATGTATATACAAAATATATATGTAAAAGTATGTCTGTCTAGGCCAGAGCTGTCCAATAGAAATTTCCTAGTGATGGAAATGTTCTGCACATGCGCTGCCCATCACTCTCTGTGGGTGGCTGTTGAGCACTTGAACTGAAGCTAGTATGGCTGAGAAACTGAATTTATAAATTTCATCTCATTCAAATGTAAATAGCCACATGTAGCTCTTGGCTATCATATTGGACACCATGGGTTTAGGCATCAAACGTCTCTGGAATGATATGTAACAAGCTGGTAACTATGGGTGCCTCTGCAGAAGGAGCTTAAGGCCTCAGGTGCAGTGGAGTTTTACATTTCATTTATATCCTTTGAATAGTTAATCATGTACTTATTTTGTCTAAATCAATGAAAAGATGAGGTCAGCAAAGTCCACCACGTATGGAGGAGACCAAGGGCTCCTTTTGGCACCTACGTAAACAGCCTAATATGGGTGCCTCTGGCTTCACCCCAACCTCAAAGCTTCAGGCTCCAAGGGAGGTGAAGCTTCAATATTAATTTCCTCCACAGGGTGGCTCCTCTGGGAAGGGAACGACGTTGAACTACAGCTCCGATGTGGACATGGTCTTGTTCTTGAGCTGTTTCCCCAGCTTCCAAGACCAGGCAGAGCACCGCGGATTGATCATCAGCTTCATCGAGGAGAGACTGACTCAGTACAGCAGGAACCTGGCCTACAGCATCACCATGGTCCCGCGGAGAGAGATGAGCAGGGTCCCCCGCTCCCTGTCCTTCCAGGTCCAGCCCAGGAGGAACAGTGAAGCCATTGGAGTGGATGTGCTCCCGGCCTATGATGCTCTGGGTAAAGACAATGATGGGTTTGGGACCAGAGAAGCTAGTCAGGGGCCCTTCACCAACCTGGCCTTGGGGGAGGTTTAGGAAAGTGGAAACCAGGGGAGAAAGAGTAGAGTTTGCTTTTTTTCTCTGGGGGGCTGCAACTAGAGCTGTATCTTGAAGTTAAGTCCTTCCATAAACTCATGTGCTGCCATGTCCCATGTTGGGGAGATAGGGGACTTCTGGACTCCCACCCAGCCCAAGGAGGAGACTCTTCTCTGACCCTCTGGGAAACACCAGAGCAAGCAAGCACTTCAAGATCTTTGGGGTTAGCATTAGATTGGAGTCATTTTAAAAACAGGGCTCTTAATGTCCTTTAATTTTAGCTTTAAGACTTACCGTGGGGGCACCTGGGTGGCTCAGGTGTTAGGCGTCTGCCTTCCCCTCAGGTCATGATCCCAGGGTTCTGGGATCTAGCCCCACATCCGGCTCACTGCTCAGCGGGAAGCCTGCTTCTCCCTCTCCCACTCCCCCTGCTTGTGTTCCCTCTCTCACTGTGTCTCTCTCTCTGTCAAATAAATAAAATCTTAAAATAAAAAAAAAAAGACTTACTGTGTTCTTGGATAAGGTATCTAACACCTCTAAGACTCAATGTACCAACCTGTTAAATGGGATAATATCAGGTTGAACCATAGGAAATTGACAATATTTGACCATGTTTGATCCACAAAAATGGCACTCCTTATGGTTCCACGTAATTTTACCTACTTCATGGAGCTCTTCTAAGGATTCCATGAGCTTAGCCCAGTGCCTGACACATGGTACGTCTTTGGCCAATGCCAGTTATTTAAAATCTCTGTGACTTTTGGGGCGCCTGGGTGGCTCAGTCGGTTAAGCGGCTGCCTTCGGCTCAGGTCATGATCCTGGAGTCCGAGGATCGAGTCCCGCATCGAGCTCCCTGCTTGGCAGGGAGTCTGCTTCTCCCTCTGACCCTCCCCCCTCTCATGTGCGCGCTCTCTCTCTCTCTCTCAAATAAATAAAATCTTTTAAAAAATAAAAATAAAAATAAAATCTCTGTGACTTTTGAGGAGGCTACCAAACCCCATAAACTTCCACCTGTTTTGATATAAAATGGGAAAAAGAATGCAGTAGTGAGGACTGCCTGAGATAATTTACGAGCCCTCTACACCTACCAGTTTTTTCCCAACTTCCTCTCCTCAGAGGGTGGATTTTCTCGAACCAGGTCCTTTTCTCTCCCAGGACATTTTTGCCCGGACTCTAAACCCTCACCGGAAATCTATGAACACTTAATAACCAGTGGTGCCACGCCTGGAGAGTTCTCGCCAAGCTTCACAGAGTTGCAGAGGCACTTCGTGAAAAGTCGACCTGTTAAGCTAAAGGACCTCCTGCGGCTGGTGAAACACTGGTATCTGCAGGTGCGGGCTGGGAGCCGGGCTGGGGGGAGCGGGGCCGGCTGCAGCGCCGGCGGGCTGCGGGGCTGGGAGGTGCCGGGCTGGGAGGTGCAGGGACAAGAGAGAGGGCGGGCGCCTGCTAACATTTTGTTTTAAGATTTTATTTGTTTAGGGCGCCTGGGTGGCTCAGTTGGTTAAGCGACTGCCTTCGGCTCAGGTCATGATCCTGGAGTCCCGGGATCGAGTCCCGCATCGGGCTCCCTGCTCGGCAGGGAGTCTGCTTCTCCCTCTGACCCTCCTCCCTCTCATGCTCTCTGTCTCAAATAAATAAAATCTTAAAAAAAAAAAAAAAGATTTTATTTGTTTATTTGAGAGAGAGAGAGGGACAGAGAGAGCCTGAGCGGTGTGAGGGGCAGAGAGCAGGGAGCCCGATGCGGGGCTGGATCCCAGGACCCCGGGATCATGACCTGAGCTGGAGGCAGACGCTTAACCAACTGAGCCACCCAGGTGCCCCTCCTTTTTTATGTATATATAGAGAGAAAGTGCCTGCTTGGGGCGGTGGGTGGGTGGCGGGGAGAATCTCAAGCAGACTCCCAGCCGAGTGAGGAGTCCAAGGCAGGGCTCCATCTCACAACCCTGAGATCAAGACCTGAGCCAAGATCGAGTCAGATGCGTAAGGGACTGAGCCACCTCAGGCGACCCACCAGTGTGATTTTCCACAGACTTCAGAGCTCAGGCATTTCATATAACAGCAATGAGAAGAAAGCTACTGTTTATTGAGCATTAATTGTCTTCCGTGATCTATACTGAGTGCTCTGCATATTTTTTTCTCCCCGTTTCCAACAGCTCTGTAATGTAGGTATTATATATTAGCCCCATTTCGGGGATGAGAAAACTGAGGCTCAAGGGCTAAAGTTGGGCTGAGATTTGAACACAAAGGTGCCCAGTTGTGTGCTCTTAATCAACAAGGCTAGTTTTTAGAATAATAATTTATTTCATCATAATAATAATTTGCGTAATAATCACTTTTTCTGGTTATTTGAATATTACATTGGGCTCGTGAAAAATTCAAATAATAAAAAAAAAGTATAAAAAAGAAGGTAAAATTCACATGAAATGACACCAAAAACATTTTTGGAGACTATGCCTTCATTCCTCTTTTTTTGTTCACACTGCTCATGCCCACCCTTTGCCCACCCTGTAGTCCACCCTTTGCAAAAATGTAAAGTACTATGCAAGTACTATGATTTCCAAAATGAGACCTCTGGAGTTGAACTTTGGGGAGTTAACCTGTTAATGTATTTTGCATCTTTTTCCATTGGGTCTTTTGTCTTCCGTATCAGTTTTAAGGCCTTTTTGTAAATTATGTAGATATTTACTATTATTTCTCATGTGTTGCAAATGTTTTCACCAATAGATCACTCCTCTATGGACCTTAATTATAGTATCTCTGACAATATAATTATTTCTAATGTTTAAAATACACAAAGGGGTGGTAACTTAGTCAGCTGAGGGGCAGCCTCCTGACTTCAGCTCAGGTCATGGGTCTTGGGTCCTGGGATCCAGCCCCCAGTCAGGCTTCGTGCTCAGCGGGGAGTCTGCTGGAGGATTCTCTCTCTCCCTCTTCCTCTGCCCCTCCCCATGCTCACTCGATCTCTCTCTCTGTGTCTGTCTAAAATGAATAAATAAATCTTTAAATAAAATAAAATACACAAAGAGGGGCAGATGGCTGGCTCAGTTGAAGGAGTGTGAGACTTGATCTTGGGGTCATGTGTTCAAACCCCACACTGGGTGTAGAGATTACTTAAAAACACACACACACAAATAGGTCTGACTTTTCTAGGTTGTGGGTTTTCTATCTTGCTCACAGTGTGTAGGTGGTCTTTTAGTTTTTTTCTACTATGTTTCATATATCCTTTCACTCCATTTGTAAACTATTTTGGTATTTGGTGCAACAGTAGGATCACGCTTATTTTCTTCTAGATGGTGGACAAATTGTGCCAGCATCATTTGTTGGATTATGCATTTTTTTCCCATCTTGCATCACCCTTGTCAGTCTTTGTTAAGTTTTTGTATCTACTGGGAACTAGTTCTGGGCTAGCCATTCTGTTACACTTGGCTATTGTTTATTCTGACACCAAAAACATACTGTTTTTGTGACAACTGCTTTATAAGACATATCTGAGAAAACAAATACCAACCTCTCTATTTTTCTTTCTCACAATTTTCTTGGATTTCCTAAGCATTTATTACTGTATTTGAATCTTAAGATCATTTATCTCCCACTAAAAAACTGGTGGGATTCAAACTGTAATTGCAATAAATTTCTAAATTAATTTTTAAAGAACTGAAAATTTCACACACTACTCTTTCTCCATCTTTCCATTCGTTCTGATTTTGTGTTATATTTTCAGTGTGTCTGTGTGTTTTTATCTTCTTTAATTAGATCCTGTATTCACTATATTGCATTGCCTCCCCCATTCCAACTCAAAAACATAGATTGATGAGGCCCAGAAGGTCCATGAGAGGCTTCAATTTGAAATTTTGATGGCTGCAGGATGTAATCCATCTAGAAACCAAGCTGCTAGACCCATTTCAAATTTCATGGACATGCTGCATAATCCAGATGTAAAATGGAGTTGACAAAGTAGTTCTTTTCTTTATTATTTTTATTTATTTATTTTTAAGCAAGTGCTACACCTAACAGGGGGCTTGAGCTCACAACCCTGAAGTCAAGAGTCCCATGTTCTATCAATTGAGCCAGCCAGGCGTTCCCTAAATTGACAAAGTATTACTGGGATCTGGAAACAGAGAAACCTGGAAATTCTCAATTTCCAGGATAGCATCTCATATTTATTCTCTCCCCCCCTTTCCCCCCAACCCCGCAGTACTTGAAACCTAAATATCAAAACTCAGCATTGCCCCCAAAATATGCTCTGGAGCTACTGACCATCTATGCCTGGGAAATAGGTACAGGCAAAAGCGACAGCTTCAACCTGGGTGAAGGGTTTAGAGCTGTGATGGAACTCCTCATAGATTATGAAAACATCTGCATATATTGGACCAAGTACTATGATTTCCAAAATGAGACTGTCAGAATCTATCTCAAACAACAGTTGAAGGAATGCAGGTGAGTGTGTTGGGTGGCATTATTTTCAGCAGCAAGGAACAGAAAACCCAACTCATACAGTTTTTTAAACAAGGGGAATTTACTGGCTTTTGTAACTGAGAATTCCAAGAATAAATGAAGCTTCAGGTATGGTGTGATCCAGATGTTCGCTAATTCATCAGGGTCCCATTCTGTGAAATCGCTCAGCCCTGCCCTTCCCTGGGTTTTGCCTTTGAATTCAGGCTAACATGAATACATCAGTTCCAATCTTCTCATCTGCACTCATCCCTTCCACTACAACAGGGAGAGCACCTTTGCCCTAGCCTTCTAAGCAGAATCCCCGAGATTCACTCTGATTGGGCCAACTTGGGTTACACCTCTAATCATGAACCAAGAGGTTTGGTTGCAGGAAGGCCTCCCTACACAGAGGCATGCACAGTCCCACAGACTTGAATGACAGAGACCAGAGTCCTAAGTGTGATGGAGATCCACTCCCTTTCTCTCTCCCAGGCCAGTTATCCTGGACCCAGCTGATCCTACCAACAACCTGGGAAGTAAAAAGAGATGGGACCTGGTGGCCAGAGAAGCTGTTCACTGCCTGAGGCAGGCCTGCTGCTGGACTGAAGACCCCAGCCAGCGCTGGCATGTACAGGTACGATCACCCCCACCCCTCAGTCAACTCACTGCTGACCTTACTTCACACACACACACACACACACACACACACACACACACACCGGTGAATCCCCTCAACTTCTGGCCACAGCACCTCTAAGACCCCAGGACAGGTTAACATCCCCCTCCATGGAGATGTCCCAGCCAACCAGGTATTCAAGTCTTCCCCTTCTGCTCTGAGAATCTGGGCCTCAGTTCTTTCATCCATGAAATGGGCAGTCAGTTTCTGCCCTGCTCTGTAACCATTAGAGAGATGTAATCAAAGAATTTATCACATACGTACACCCTGTGGGGTAACATTTTCCCTATTATGGGTTGTTGAAAGCTCAACTTCTTGCTGTCCAAAAAAGAGATTTAAGAGGTACCTAGCTGGCTCAGTCAAAGAGCATGCGACTCTTGCTCTCGGGGTTGTGGGTTCAAGCCCTGTGTTGGGTGTAGAGATTACTAAAAAAATTTAAAAATAAGCTTTATTTAAAAAGTGAGAGAGGGCGCCTGGGTGGCTCAGTTGGTTAAGCGACTGCCTTCGGCTCAGGTCATGATCCTGGAGTCCCGGGATCGAGTCCCGCATCGGGCTCCCTGCTCGGCGGGGAGTCTGCTTCTCCCTCTGACCCTCCTCCCTCTCATGCTTTCTGTCTCTCATTCGCTCTCTCTCAAATAAATAAATAAAATCTTTAAAAAAAAAAAAGTGAGAGAGAGAGAGATTTAATAGATGCTCCAGAAATGATCAGTAAGGAGCACTGGATTCCACTGCAGACAGCAACGTCACTTGTGCGACCCCACTGTGCACGGCTTTCCCTGACACGACCACGGGAGTCCCGGGTCTGAACACTCTGTAGGAATCCAGGGTTCAAAGACCAGGATGTTGCTATCAGCTCAACTAAGAGGGATCTCATTTCCCTAACCTGCTACTCCCCGAGAAATCTTGTTGCCAGTCCCACATTTCATAGCCTGCAGGGAAATCCTGAGGCTTGCCTCAAAGGCAGATCTGCAGCAGCTTCAGCAAGGTGGATAACTCACGCATGGGAAGGACCCGCCACCCAGCCCTGGCCCTTTGACTGGCATGTCCAGTGGATCGGGAGGCTCCCACGAAGCAAGATTCACTGAACAGTCTTCCAACTCTTGCTAAGAACCCTCCCCATCACCTTTTTTAATATTATTGTTTTGTGAAAAAGTAACACACATGTTCAGCAAAGAATAAAAAATCAAACTGTTGGAAAGAACAGACAACTAAAGTAGGTTGCCCTCCAATCCTGATCCCCGGGCTCGTGGTACCACCTTCTCCCCAACATCCACTTATCAATATCCTGCATCTCCTTCCGTGGATAGATATGCCACCCACACACTAGCACATTCCTGTCTGACTCTTTTGCCTTTTTACTTTTATTTACTTAAATGATTAGGCTATTTGTGTTACTCAATTAAATTATCAGAAAGACAATTCCACATCCACACCTATAGACCTAAAAGGGCGTGACCATATAACATAAAGTCCAAACCAGGATATTTTTGAGCATGAAATGGGGTGATGCTTATTATGCCAGGACAAGGGACACACATGTGGACTGCCCTAGATATCGAGTCACCCTGGATTAACAGCTATATCATGATCCAATGGAGGAAAGCACCTTCTCTTTTAGGATCCCTGCCCCACTGAAAGATTTTTAGGCTGCTTCCAGACTTTGGCTATTACATGAATATCCTTGACCATATGTCCCTGTGACTCCATCTGTTGAATGATTTAACCTAGAATAGCCCTATGATGTACCTATGGAATATGTGCTAACGTTATCCCCGTGTGATAGATCGGGACTCATTAAAATAGTTTCACATAGGAGGAGTGGTTATTTCAAGAACTGTTGCCAGTTGTTATTCTGATCAGGGTGAGTCAGAAGGCAAGTCAGGTGAGTCAGGTGACCCCACGGTAAGCCTAAGATGACCAAATGTTCTGCTCTGCCTGGGACAGTTCCAGTTTATGCCTGTTGGCTGAGATAATTATCGATAGCACCTTTTCCTACCTTAAGTATCTTGGTAGGCAGTAGATTATACCGTCACTAGGCAGAAAGGGGAGGCTTTGGAGACAACAGCCATGACCGTGAGACATCCTTATCCTTCCAGCCAGCAAGGAATGTCCAGGTGACGGTGAAAAAGGCAGGAGAGGAGGCCTGGATATTCTCAGTGAACCCCTACCGTCCCATCCGGAAGATGAAAGCCAAGATCAAGAGGACATGGGGCTTCAGCGGGCAACAGCGTCTCTCCTTCCAGGAGCCGGGAGGGGAGCGGCATCTGCTCAGCAACCGGCAGACATTAGCATATTATGGGATCTTCTCTAAGGTGAGCGTCCGGGTGCTGGAGACCTTCCCTCCTGAGATCCAGGTCTTCGTGAAGGACTCTAGTGGTCAGAGCAAGCCTTATGCCGTCCACCCTGAGGACTCCATCCGTGACTTGAAAGAAAAGATTGAGGAAGGTGGAGGACCTTACATGGAGGATCAGGTACTAAAGTTCCAGAATCGGATACTATGGAATCACCGCAGCCTCTCAGACCTGCAGATCAAAGACTGTGACACTATCATACTCGTGAAGAGAAACTGAGTAAGGAAAGGGTTAATGTATAGGCAGGGAGAGATAGGGGGTCCCTGGCTAGGCTCTGAGACTATTCCTGGCAGGCAGAAGCACTAAGACAGAGTGAACAAGAGATAAGGGAACAGACCATCTGGCCTGGGATGGTCGGCAGTATTTTTCTTTGGCAGCTCCAGTATCATAGAAAATGACCAAACCTCAAAGAAGTGAGTCATTAAGGGTGTTATCAATAGTCCATGCTCAAACCAAGACTGCACAAGAAACTCAAGGTCATAAGTTTCCCAGTCAGTTCTCAATAAAAAACCAGCCCACAATGAATCATGGAACACTACATCAAAAACTAATGATGTAATGCATGGTGATTAACATAACAATAAAAAATTAAAAAATAAAAATAAATATCATCTTTAAAAAAAAAAACAAACCAGCCTACAAGCCCTCAGTGGCAACCCCATCGAGACCCCTCTCACTCCTGAGAGCTTTTTCTGTACGCTTGCTTAATAAAACTCTATCACTTTACTCACCCTCCTTTGTCCACGAGATTCATTCTTCAACTCCGTGAAACAAGAACCTAGCTCTCCCATTTCAAAGCCACAGGTCCCCAGGAGTGCCCATGGTCAGGCTGCACATGATGTAGACTTCTATGGCTCTGTTCCCCCACCCACCCCTTTTCCACCCAGACCGCTGTGATTTTCGGAAGCATAAATATGAATGTACCCTTCCCTGCATGACGTCCTCCAATGGCTCCTATTACCTGTAGAATAAAGTTCAAGTTCTTTTGCTTGGCCTTCAAGGTCTTTGACAATTGAGCCCTTGCTTACTTCTCAATCTCTCCTCATCACTCTCAAAACACACCAGATGTGCCCAAACTCTTGCAGCTCCTGAGCACTGAATGCCGGATCGTGACACTGTGACCTACTCAACTATCCCTTTCCCTCGTGTTTCCATCTGTCAACCCTCAAAGCTCTAAGTCATTATTCTCCAAGTATGGACCCCAGACCAGCAGAATCAGCACATCACCTGGGAATGTCTTAGAAATGAAAATTCTCAACAACTATCCCAGATTTACCTGAGTCAGGTTCTCTGGTAGTGGGGCTCAGCAATCTGTGTCTTAACAAGCTGTCCAAGTAATTCTGGTGCGTGCTCAAGTTTGAGAACCATGGCTAGAAGCCCCATCCAGCCAACCGCGTCATTTCCTGGCCCAACACCCAATTCAAACTTCCGTGAAAGCACTTGGGCCCCTCACTGTGTTCCTTTGTTGGATTATCGGTCTCCCTGGTCTAATGAGACTTGACAAGTGCCTTATTCCTTTGTCCCCGTGGTCTAGAATGCTACCCGCCTGGTGCACGTGTTCAGCACATGCTTGCTGAAGAAACGAATGAACCAAAGAATGACTTTGAATTCTTCCCTATTATCTTTGTGAGGGTCTCAGTCCAATGCTATTTTGGAGACCACATGGTTTGGGATGACCCCTGCTGTGTCTCATTCTTTGATTGCCCACACTCACCCATATACACCCCATGCTGTAGTGGGTACACCAGGCTATGCTCCGACCCAAAAGCTTCACTCATCTGTCCAAACCGAATTGGACCAAGAGCGATCAGCTGACCTAGCGTAGACTCCCATCTACTGGTTTTATTTAGCCTCTCAGATTTTGAGCCCTGAGGGGTGGAGCCAAGTACAGTACTTCCTGGTATAGTTAAACGAGGGTGAATGTCTAAGCAGAAATGCGGTCGGAAGACAGCAGCCCAAGCTCCAGTCTACATATGAGTAAAAATACCTCCCCCCGCACAGAGAATGGAGCCACGCAAAGCAAGAGAGAATCAAAAGCGCTCACACAGCCCCAGAGAGAGACACTGTAGGGTGCTGTGACAACTGCCTGCTTTTTAAAAAAATCAAATTCCCCTATATCCTTTCATCGACCTAAATTGAATGAACACCTACTCATTGAGTGAATGTGAGTAGGTGGGGTATTTTTTTTGCCCCAAAAGCCTTGACTAAGATCTGCTTCTGCAACTCAATAATTTTTTTTTCTATTCCTCACTAAATTAATAATTCCGTGCATCTGCATGGCATTGACACCAAGAGTCTCTATCGACACAATGTCATTGGATTCCTATCCTCACAGCTGCCCGGAAACTTAGGTGGAAGAGTAGGAATGATGCCCTCTCTCCCTTCTTACAGATGAGAATACCGAGGCTTAGAGGTATTCTACACTGCGCCCTTCCCAGTCTTTCCTTCCTGTCTCACTTAAGGACAATTCCATCCTTGCAGTTGTCAAGACCAAAGCCTCGGAGTGGTCCTTGAGTCCAGCCTTGGCCTCACATCATATTCTATCCGTTAGCAAGACCTGTTTATATTCAAAATAGAAGCAGTGAAATGATGTGACGTCTAGGATTCACGCTTAAATAACACGGGAGAGGAGATGTGGATGTGAGTATAATTGAAAGATTGTCTGCAGTTTTGTTGCAGGATTGCTGGGTTCTTGTCTCACCGAGTTGAAGGATGAATCTCACGGACACAAAAGGTTGAAGTGAAGTGAAAGTTTATTAAGTGAAGGTGAGAGCAGGAATGGAAAGAAAAAGTTCTCAGGAGTGAGAGGGGTCCTGCACCGGTTGCCACTGAGGATTTTTAGGGCTGGTCTTTTATTGAAAACTTGACCAGGAAGCTTGTGGCCTTGAGATTCTTGGGCCGTCTTGGGTTGGGCAAGGACTATTGATAACACCCTTCATGACTTATTTCTTTGAGATCTGGTCATTTTCTGTGATTACACTGTAGCGGCCAAAGAATCTTACTCGCTAACATTCGGGGCCAGGTGGTCTGGTCTGTTCCCTTATCTCTGGTTCACCCTGTCTTAGAGCTTCTGCCTGCTAGGAATAGTCTCAGAGCCTAGTCAGGGGTTCCCTGTCTCTCCCTACCTAGACCTTAACCCTTTCCTTACTCAGTTTGATAATTGTGGAAGCTGTGTGATGGTCCACAGAGGTTCCTTTTATTATTCCACTTTTGTTTATGTTTGAAATTTTCCATAATAAAAAAATTAAATCATACAACTTCTCCCTACCTGCACCACTACCATCCTGATCCAAGCTGCCGGATCTCCTGTTGGGACTTTTTTTTTTTTTTTTAAGATTTTGTTTATTTATTTGAGAGAGAGCACGAGGAGGGGGTGGGGGAGGGGCAGAGGGAGAGGGAGAAGCAGGGTCCCCACCGAACAGGGTGCCTGACATGGGGCTCGAGCCCAGGACTCCGAGATCAAGACCTGAGCTGAAGGCAGATGCTTAACCAACTGAGCCACGCAGGCGCCCTCCTGTTGGGACTATTGCAGTAGCTTCTTCACTGAGCTCCTGCTCCCCTCTCACCTCCACCGCCAACCTCTGCTTTTAATCTAAACTCCTCCCCCCCACTCCACAGCCAGTGTGATCTCATTAAAATGAAAGTCAGGCCATTTCACTCCTCTGCTTGAAACTCTCCAATGGCTCCCCATTTCATTCAGAGTAAAAGTCAGTCTTAATTAGTGGTCTTCAAGATCCTACACTATTTGCACCCCAACCTTTTACCACTTAAACCTCATCTCCTCGCACTCTTTCCCTTTGGTCATCCCATTCCAGCCATGCTGTTATTCCTCAAACCCACCAGGCAACACTGACGCCACAGGACCTTTGCCCTTGCTGCTCCTTCTGCCATGAATTATCGTCTTCCCTCTGGCATACACAAGGCTCACTTTGCCTCCTTCATGTCTTTGCTCAAATATCTCCTTTTCAGGCCTTTCCAACCACCTTATTTGAGACTGAACATCTAAACAATCCTACACACGCGCGCGTGCGTGCGCACACACACCTACACACCATATATCTTAACCTCTTGCCCTGCTTTATTTTTTCTGCTTAGCACTTCTCACCATCTTATTTACTACAATTTGACTTATCCTGTTTATGGTCTGTCTCCACCATCAGAATGTAAGCCCTCTGCAGGCAGGGATTTTTGTCTATTTGCTGCTGTATCCCCAGCACCTGCCTGGCACATAGTAGCTACTCAATAAATACTTGTTGCATGAATGAATGATGGCACTCTAATATTCAACCCCTGCCCACCTGTCCAGGCACATCTCTCACCTCTCTCCTCCTTACCTTCTGTGCCGATGCATATTTGACAACGGAATCCCTGGGCACACACCAAGATCGTTCAGACTTCTACTTTGTCTGTGGTCTGCCCTCCTCTTCCTCCTGGCCAGATCCCCAGTCTTTTAAGGCTCACACTGGGCTCTCAGAGTCTCTTGTCCATCTCCTCTACTGTTCTGAGAGCCCCTTGGGACAGGAACCACGTCTTATTTTGCCTTTTTAACATATTGGCGCCTAGCAGGTGCTCAATAGGTATTTAATGAATGAATAATAGTATTTGCATTTATTGAGTGCTTTCTGTGCTCAGTGTTTTCATGCTTAATCTGGACAACAACCTATGGGGTAGGGTATCATTACTAACCCCATTTTTATGGATAAATTATGGGAGGGTCAGAGACGTTAAGAGTGTGGCGAAGGGCAGACTGGAATTGAAAGTCTGTTCTAAGGGACTCTGGACTCTTGGCTTCCCCCTGCTCAACCTTACCGACCGTGAGCAAGTCCCCGTCTTTCTGAGCCTCAGTTTCATATGACAAAGTGGGGTGACTGGTTTGATGAATACCATCCCACTCTGACCTACTGGGAGCGTTGCCTCCTCTAGGGCCAAACTCAAGCCAGTTTCAGTTTCCAGATGTCATCAGAGGGAAACTAAAGCGGAGAATGGAAACTGATACCAAAAAGATTAGGCTGGGAGCCAAGCTTGTTAAGGTGGCTCCAGAACTCCCAGCTGGACTCAGTGTCCCTCGGTGCCCCTGCCGCAGCAAAGGGTCTCCAAGAAGAGGAACCCAGGTCAGCCCAGTCGCTTCCTGGTTTCCTCTCCACTCTGGCTCCTTTGCCCCCCAGGGTGCTGGCGGTCAGCTGGAGGAAGAGCACCCTTAAAGAAGTGGGTGTGCAGGGAGCTGGGTAGGTGTGTGGCCATATATCTGGGCTGCTGTGGTCCTCTGGCTCAGAGATGGCTCTGACCATGGAGCTGTATGGCACCCCTGCCTCCAGGCTGGACTCCTTCGTGGCTCAGTGGCTGCAGCCCCACCGGGAGCAGAAAGAAGAGGTTCTGGAGGCTGTGTGGACCGTGCAAAAATTCCTGAGGGAAGAGCACTTTGAGGGGGATTGTGGACTGGACCAGAAGGTGCGGGTGCTCAAGGTGCTCCAGGTGAGATCGGTCCCCTCCATCCCCAGAGCAGGGCCAGGCAAAAGGCAGCATGAGAGTCCTCGTCCCAGAGGATGCTGGGGACCTCTTGCCTCATTATCCTTAGCCCATGCTGCTGACATGTCAGGGCACCCCACCTAGCTGCCTGTACCCTACCCTACTGCTGCCTTAAGCGGAACAAGACTGGTAAGGAAACTCATGATAATAGTTCACTTTTCTGGGATGCACTAGCCTAACCCCTTAACATACACTAGCTCTAATTCATGCACCCTGTGAGGTAGGCACCATCCTTTTCCCATTTTACAGATGAGCAAAATGGAGGTTCGGAGCCTTAAGATTCATAATGACCAAATGCAGTGCAAGGTCTCTGATTCGACCCTGGTGGGAATAGACCATCCACAAAATACAATTTGGGGATAAGTAGGGAAATTTTAATATGGCCTGGATATTAGATGATAGAAGGCAGTCATTGTTGATTTTGTTAGGTGTAATAATTTTGTGGTTATGGCTGGGGGAAATGCTCTCTTTGGCTGAATACAAATGCTAAAGTATTCAGAGACAAAGTTCCTTGGTATCTGTAATTACTCTAACGTGGTTTTGATGAAGCAAATGTGGCAAGGAGTTTAAACTTGTTGAATCTAACTGGCTGGGTTTATGAGTGTTCATTGGAGTCTTTTCCTGTTTTTCTATGTTTTAAGTTTTTGATTAGAAGAAGGTTTCTTTAATGGAAGCTCAGAGAGGTAAGGTGACTTGTCCAAGGTCACACAGCTAGTGGTGGAGCTGGGATTTGAACCAGGATCTATCTATTCCACAGCCAGTGCTCTAGGCTTCCCCCACTGATTTTCCCCAACACCCTTCCTTCTGCTGCTGCTTGTCCTAGCTAGAGTCAAAATTCAAGGGGTTCAAAGCTAGAAACGCCCTAGAGAATCAGACAGTCTCAGCCATCCCTTCGTTTAAACATTAAGGAAACTGAAGCACAAAAGGGGTGAGAGATGTCCCAAGTTCACACAGTGAGCTAGGGGCAAAGGCAGGACTAGAATTAGGGTGCCTGACTCCCAGCCCAGTGCTCTAGTTCTCTCTGCAGGGCCAGCCAGCTCAGGGAAAGATTTAGAAATCTCAGGTCCCCAGCCCTTCTTTACACCCACCCCCAGCACCTAGAGCCTGAGGCCATAGGATTTAAACCAGCGTTTGAACCTTGACTTCTTTCCGTCCCAGCTGTGTGATCTTAGACTCCTCTCTCAAACCTTCTGTCTCATCATCATCATCATCATCATCATCGTTTCCTCCTTGTCCAGCAAAAGCCTTGTCAGTGTAGGCTAAAAGATTAGCACATGGTAAATGCGCCAAACAAAAGCATTGTTATAAATTCTTGCTCTGAGTCCAGCAGATACTCCCAGCCCATCCCACCCGTAACAATCCTGAGGGTGAAGTGGATGAAAAGGGGGATGTCCAGAGACTGGAGGATGGTACCAACAGAATCAGTTTTGATGACAGGAAGTGGTATTTACCCAGCCCTCAAATTCTGCCTGCAGACCATAGCCACTCCCCCTTCACCAAAACCATAAAATAAAAGAGATAGCCCCAAAACAATGGTAGAGGAGAAATAATGCTTTATTCAGGTTCTAAACCCTCTTCCCACCCCCACAAAAGCCCGGTGAGCTGGGCTGGTTCACATGTATGAGTGCTTATCCTTGAATGAGTTGGGTTTAAATAGATTTGGGCTAGAGCAAGTCATGAAACTTATTCTAGAATGTTCTTTCTTCTCCGCCTGGGTCTTCATTGAAAAAGGCAGGAAGTCTAGGCATAGCTTTCAGGGGGATGTGCCCTTCGTCCACACACAGGGTTCCATCCCCAGCCCTGCCAAATGCTGGGGCCCAATGAAGGTGCAGAAAGAGAAGGCAAAAGGAAGGGGAAAGAAAAGATGGCGGACTTCTCCTCCTCAGAACCAGGGCCTGGCTCAGGGACTTGGAGCCTGGGAAAGAAAGAGGTAGAAGAACCACACTTTGTCTTCTGACCCTTTATCTGATTATGACTATGACTCCTGGCCATGAATCTACTACTGCCTCCGCTTTCTCATCTGTACACTGGGGACAATTACACTAGTCCCCACCTCAGTCAGTGGGTGTTAGGGTTAAAAGATATTTGTGCATAAAGGGCCTTCAATAGTGCCAGACACCGTGAGTGTTCAACCCGTGATGGTAGGATTATACTCAATCCACCGGCCAGGAGAGGTAGCCACCCTGAGGTCTGGGTCATCGCTAGCAAGTCCATCTCCCAACCTGGGGTGAGAAAGACAGGAGGCCAGAGAGCTGTAGGGCTTTGTATACCAGAGGCAAGAGGGGCTGGAGAGCAGGTCTAGACTCTCAGAACATCAAATAGACCGCTTCCAAATAATCCAGCTCAGGCTCCTTCCATCCAGATGGGGAAACTGAATCCCAGGCAGAGCAGGGATGATCTAAGTCAACGAGACAAAGAAGAGGATGAGAGACACATGGCTGACTACCTGCATGCCAGGCACATGGCAAGCCCCCAGCATGCCTTCTCTTACCTAACCCTCGCAAGAACCTAATGACTCGTGTTCCATGGTTACTCTCATCTCGCAGATGAGGAATTAGGGCTCACAATTAAGGATCACAGCTGAGAAACAAGGGCAAGAATCAGGGTCAAAGTCAGGCTGCCCATGGCCCTTATCTACCAGGCAATCCTGCTCCCCACGTTTTAATGTCATGAAATGACTCAGATGCACGGAATG